CGCCCCAGAGGTGGCCGCATCTCAGCGCCGGGCGAGGGGTCCCCGGGTAACCAGCCGCCTCGTCCCAGAGGTGGCTGCATCTCAGTGGTGTATAACCAGATGCCATGTTCCAGTGTCCTGACTCAGAATGAAGGGGAGTCTGGTCGGGGGTGGGGCTGGGATCCCGGACTCCTGGGTTCTCTGTGCCCGGTGTGTTACTCCGTGCTGAAGTCCGCCCCCTCCCCGCCCCAAGTGCTCAAGGACCCGGACAGCAACCCCTACAGCCTGCTAGAGAACACGGAGACCGACCAGGCGGGCGACACCGACGGCAGCGAGTCACAGCCCATCAGCAACCGGCGCCGCCGCTCCCGCCGCCGCCGCACCGACGACGACGCCACCATGATGGACGGCGCTGCCGAGTCCGACATGTCCGTCAACGAGAACGGCGTGGGTGAGCAGGGGGGGCTGGGAGCCGGACGCCTGGGTTCTCTCCCCGGCTCTGGGAGGAGAGGGGAATGGGGTGGGGGAGGGGCTGGGAGCCGGACGCCTGGGTTCTCTCTCCAGCTCTGGGAGGGGAGTGGGGGGGGGGGGCCAGGAGGCAGGACACCTGGGTTCATCCCCATCTCTGCTCCCTGCTTTCCCAGAGGACGAATCGAAGCCTCAGAGACGCAACCGGAGCCGTCGCCGCCGTAACCGTGGCAACCGCATGGACGGCTCCATCAGCCGGGACCGGCAGCCAGGTATGGGGGTCCAGCGGGGCCGGGCGGGGGATCCTGGCGCTCTGGGTTCAGCTCTTGCTTCTGCTACAGCCCTGAATGCCGCCGTGTGGGGTGTGAACGGGAGGGCAGGAGCTGCCCTGGGATCCCTCCCTGCGCCAGGTGCTGTCAGCGGGGCCTCATTTCCGGGACGGATCGGGGGCGTGGCCAGAACTCCCATGCGGCCAGCGTCACCCCCCTCCGGGCTTGCAGGACTCCTGGGTCCGTCTCCCCCCCCCCACCCCCAGCGTTCTGTCCTTGCTGTGCGCGCGTCAGGGGGGCAGGCGGGAATGGGGGTCGGCAGCTGTCCCCAACCCAGCGCCCGCTCCCTCCCCTCCAGTGACCGTGGCTGATTACATCTCCCGGGCCGAGTCCCAGAGCCGCCAGCGGCCCCTGCAGAAGGAGCCCCGGGAAAAATCCACCGAAGACGACACACCGAGACAAAAGGTAGGGGCGGAGCTGGCAGCGGTGGGTGGAGCTGGTGGTGGCTGGGCGGAGCCGGCTTGGGGCGGGGCTTATTCCAAGCCCCTCTTGAGACCTTCTCCCTCCCCACTGCAGGCAGAGCCAGCCGGCAAGGTGGCCAACGGCCCGTCGGAGAACGGCGAGGAGCCGGCCGCCATGGTGAACGGGCTGTCGTAAGCGCTGCGCCGGGAGAGCCGCGCCCACTGCTTCCTGCCTAACCGACCCTACTCCGCCCTGCTTGCGTCATGGTTAAACACGCCCACCGACCTCTCGTTAACGAACCATTTATTCAACGATCGATAATTCCTGTAGTGCTTGTCGGAAGCTTGCCAAAGATAGCCAAGCTCTTACGGCTCGTTAGGCGCCGACCAATCAAGAGACAGGCAACCGGATTCTTGCTGGGGCAAGGGGCGCGGCTCCCGCCCCCCTCCCCTCCCGGAAAGGGGCCTCGACAGTAAAAAAACAAATTAATTATCTCTTAATTGTGTGTCCGTTTTTGACGACTCCGTTTGAGCCAGGAACCGCAATCCGGCCGCGGGTTGAAACCGGAGCGAGGATTTTTTTGTGCCTTCTGAACGCGCGTCGCTTCCCTTCCTTTTTTTCGGTTGTTTTCCCTTCCGCCTAGTTCGCTCGCGCAACGATTTTGGTAAAGATGGAGCGGGGGGGCGGCTGCCGCGCCCTTTATTCCCCCCCTTAAAAAAAACAAATCGGAAGGTACCACGGGGTGGGGAGCGTGGGGGGAATTTTTGTTTCTAGGCAATACAAACACAGCAGGTATTTTTCTTTTTTGGTACACTGTGGCAGACCGAGGCGGGGGGCGGAGAGGGTAGAGCTGCATGGCCCCCCCACCAGTGTCGCTTTGCCAGGAAGGGGGGGGGCAAAATCGAGCTGTGACGGTTGAGACGTTATTTATTTTTCACTGTACAGTATTTAAAAGAGAATAAAGAACCAAACTCGTACGCAAACGCTGCTGTCTCTTCCCCTCCCTGCCCCCCCCCCCCCCGAACGAGGGGGGGGGGGAGGAAAACCCCCCCCCCCCGCCCCCCCCCCCCCCGCTTCCCCCTCCAGATCTTCAATAAAGCCACCGAAAAGAACCGCGGTCGGCTCCACGCCCTTCACTCGCTGTGGGGGGGTGTCATGGATTCACGCCCTAATTTGCCCCCCTGTCGTTAACCCCCTCCCCCCAATTCGGCCTCCTTTGCTCCTTAGCCGGTTGGATTGGGCGGGGGCGGGGGGGAAGCAAGCTGGCTGGTTCCTTCCCAAGGCACATTTTTCCTCACTCCCCCCACCCCCCAAGAGCTGGGGGGCTGATGGATCTGCCTGCTGGGGGCAGGGGTGGATTTTCCAGCCTGGGGGGGGGAAGCTGACTGGTTCCTTCCCACGGCATGTCCCCCCCAGAGCTGGGGGGCTGGTAGACCCACCCACTGTGGGGGGGGGGGGGAAAGAGGTCGGAGGATGAGCTCAGCGACAGCCCGGGGGGGCCGCTGGCCTGTCTGTGGGTGGCAGAGGCCTAATGTGTTCCTTGGGGGGGGGGGACAGGGGTGGGAGGCCAGCAGGAGCAGGTGTAATTCCTAGGACTGGCCACTGGGGGGCGATGTCGCACTAGGCAGGGGCCTGTGGGGAGGGAGGGAATATTCACGGCTGAGCAGGGGGGGCTCTGCCCCCCGTCGTAGAGCCAGACTCCTGGGTTCTCTCCCCAGCGCTGGGAAGGGAGTGGGGGCTGGTGGTTCAGAGCAGCGGGGGCTGGGAGCCAGGACTCCTGGGTTCTCTCCCCG